AACAACACACTTGGTAAAAAGTTCTGCCATCTCTTTCTTTCTGCAAAACACTACAAATATCAATAAAGCAGTGGTCATGAAGGAAAACCACAAAGAAACTGAACTGTAATCACATGGAAATAAACCAAATGTAAGTATATTATCTTCATCTGGAACGTAGAACATTGGGCTCTCGGCAATAAACTTTTTATTTATGTAAATCTGGTGACAGCAACCAAGTTTGTCTCCCAGAGATACAGAAGGGACTCCTCTGCTTTGTGGCATAGAAATAGGAAAATACCTTTGGTCATCAGTTATATTTATTTATTTATTATCCAGTTGAATTTAAGATTGTTGGTCCTGAGTTATATACATGCAAACTCCTGAGAGTGAAGGGGAGACAGGAGACAGTCAATTCCTGAAACTGTCTCAAGCTTCTCTCTAAAAAACAAGCAGGAGAAGGCCAGGCGTGGTGGCTCAAGCCTGTAATCCCAGCACTTTGGGAGGCCAAGGTGGGTGGATCACAAGGTCAAGAGATCGAGACCATCCTGGTCAAAATGGTGAAACCCCCGTCTCTACTAAAGATACAAAAAATGAGCTGGGCATGGTGGTGCGTGCCTGTAATCCCAGCTATTCAGGAGGCTGAGGCACAAGAATTGCCTGAACCCAGAAGGTGGAGGTTGCGGTGAGCCGAGATCGCGCCATTGCACTCCAGCCTGGGTAACAAAAGCGAAACTCTGTCTCAAAAAAAAAAAAAAAAAAAAAAACAAGCAGGAGAGACAGAGAAACACAGCGACATAATTCTGAAGCTTGACTCTTTCTTTACCATGGAAGTTTTCTTCTGCCCACCCTACAGTCACCTTGTTTGTTAAATGAACGCCACTGAACTCTTAAAAATAGTCTGAGCTAAAACATATTTGTGTCTGGAGAGTGCAGACTGCAAAAGTAAATTGCTTTAATAAGTTCCTTTTAAAATAAAACAAAAAGAGCATTAAACACGTGTCAACATAGTGAGCATCAGGCTTCCACGAAGACTGCAAAAGATACATCTTGTTTCTTAAGGATGAAAAGATTTTGTAAGAGAAAAAGCTGGTGATGTGGAGCTGGAGCTGATTTACCCTGATTAGGAACCTGGCCATTCCTCCCCAGGAAGAGCTCGGGACAGGACTGCTGGCTGGCTACCTTTGAAGAGAATAAGATTCAAAGATCGTGATCTCCTTACAAAGCCACATAAAAGACCTAGAAAGCCGTAACTAGAAAATTTAAAAGGTATCAAATGTACAAAAAAAAATGGTTTACCAAAATAAAGGATGTTACTCAAAAGCGTTATCTTCCACTCATCATCTAAAGTATAATTTGGGGAAAATAATTCCTTGACATAGTTATTAACATATCAAAGTTTTAAAGATTATTTCCCTAAGGAATAATACATTTCAACCGAAGATAATTTTTTTCCACAAAATATTTGGTTAGCAAAATGAGCTCAAAATATGTATGAGTTCCCAAGATTTCTTCTATCTCAAAAGAATACATTTACATTAATACTGGAAAATCCATGTCAGTTAATCGCCCCCCATCCTCAATCCCAATGTCAGTCTAAGGTCATAGTTATGTTACAACCAAAAGTAGTATAAAAGGTGAACTTATACAGATGCTCCTCAACTTAAGAAGGGGTCAAATCCCAATAAACCAGGTGTAAACTGAGAATACCGTAAGTCAAAAATGCCAACACAGCTGACCTGCGGAACCTCATAGCTTAGCCTCACCTAATTTAAACGTGCTCAGAACACTTACATTAGCCACCAGATGGACAAAATCATCTAACACAAAGCCTGTTTTATAATAAAGTGTTTAATATCTTATACAACTTACTGAATACTATATTGAAAGTAAAAAACAGAATAGTTTCAAGGGTACTTTAAATACAGCTTCTGCTGAATGAGAATAGCTTTCAAACTGTTGTCATTTTTTTTTTTTTTTTTTTAGAAGGAGTTTCACTGTTGTTGCCCAGGCTGGAGTGCAATGGCGCGATCTCGGCTCACGGCAACCTCTGCCCCCTGGGTTCAAGCAATTCTCCTGCCTCAGCCTCCCGAGTTGCTGGGACTACAGGCACGCGCCACCATGCCCAGCTAATTTTTTGTATTTTTAGTAGAGATGGGGTTTCACCTTGTTGACCAGGATGGTCTCAATCTCTTGACCTCGTGATCCACCCACCTCGGCCTCCCAAAGTGCTGGGATTACAGGTGTGAGCCACCGCGCCCGGCCCAAACTGTTGTCATTAAGTGGAACCAGTGTAGGTCAGGGACTGTCTGTATCTCAAATAAGTATCTCTGGTGACGTTAAGGACATTTTAAAGAGTAGTGATACTTTATATGTTTTTTTGAAATATTAGCTCCATGTCATACTAAACAGAAAAACTAAAATTTAATATAAAATAAAACTATAAAAATCTAGAAACTATGTCCTTTTAGATAAACCTTTACAGCAGATATGGAAATAAAGAACAGTTCCTTGAAATGTATTGGGGAGTGAAATTTAGATTTGATTCCTGACAAGACTTTATCAGATGTTTCTGATTATCTGTCATTCATCCTGGTAGCCAAGCACTAGTCTGAAGTTGAATGCACTCCTCTTTTTGTCCAGCCATGTTCATTCCCCAGACCAATTTCTCTTTACCTTCTCTCCCCCCATAAAATTCCTGCTCCCTCAGCTGGACTTCCAAAGGTAAAGAAAGACCTTCTCATCAGAAGAGGGTCAATCAAACATAAAATGCAGTAAAAGTTATAGAGACCTGAGCATTTTCATATATCATTTATCTTCATTATGATTTTTGCATCATATTTTAGAGGGTTAATCTAAATATATGTTTTCCATTTAGCAAAATTTTTCACGTACTCCAGAAAAAAACAGCGAAAATGCCCTAAGATAATCCTTAAGATTTGTCAATTATCCTGTACATTCGTTATCTCATTTAACCTGATCACCACCACTGAGAGACAGGCACTATTAGGAGGATGCCTACCCCATCCTCTGGGTGAGGACAGTTGCAATATATGGTCAGACAGAAGAAGGAATTCACACCAGGATGCAAGAAGCTGCCTGGATGCCTTGGACTGGGATGGGGAGATTCTAAACCTGAGCTTGGGCATTTGAATTGAGCTGCAAGATGGAACATTAGGTCAGCACATTAAGAAACCAGAGTTACGGCTGGACATGGTGGCTCACGCCTATAATCCCAGCACTTTGGGAGGCCCAAGGCAGGTGGATCACGAGGTCAGGAGATGGAGACCATCCTGGCTAACATGGTGAAACCCCATCTCTACTAAAAATACAAAAAATTAGCCAGGCATGGTGGCACCCGCCTGTAGTCCCAGCTACTAAGGAGGCTGAGGCAGGAGAATCCCTTGAACCCGGGAGGCAAAGGTTGCAGTGAGCCAAGATTATGCTACTGCACTGTAGCCTGGGTGACAGAGTGAGACTGTGAAGAAAGGAAAGGGAAAAGAGAAAGGAAAATAGGAAGAGAAGGGAAGGGGAGGAGAGGAAAGGAGAGGAAAGGAGAGGAGAGGGGAGGAGAGGGGAGGAGAGGGGAGGGGAGGGGAGGGGAGGGGAGGGGAGGGGAGCGAAAGGAAAGGGAGGGGAGGGGAGCAGAGGGGAAGGGAGGGGAAGGGACGGCAGTGCAGGGGAGGGGAGGGGAGGGGGGAGAGGACGGGTAAAGGGAGGGGAGGAGGGAGAAGGGGAGGGGAGGGGAGGGGAGGGGCGGGGAGGGAAAAGGAAAAGAAAGGAAAGGAAAGGAGAAACTAGAGTTCCAAGTTCCTGGGAGACAGGGTGAAACAAAGGAAGGAAGGGAAAGAGGGAAGAAGGGAAGGAAAGAAGGGAGGGAGGGAGGGAGGGAGGAAGAGTTCGAAGTTCCAACGTCAAAGGTACTATATGCTGGATGAGAAACAAAGACAACTGAAAGGATACAGAATGCTAAACTAGGGGGGAAGTAGTCCTCTGGAAACTGTCCAGGTGGGGAGAGAATACTGAGGGTCTCTTTTTCTGGCGGCTATTTCTACACCAAGGCTGGGGAATTAGAAAACACCTAATTGGCCATGTAGTTGTTTGAGAAGGTTAAACTACAGAAGCTAGTTCAAGAGAGAGTAAAAAGTTAGAAGCGACTCACACAGGAGGGGTGGCTACGGAGGAGAGAGGCCCCAACGAGAGCTGTAAACCCACCAGTTACTTCTGAGTGCAGGCTCTTCAGTGGCAAATCACTGAGGTGCTGTCCTTGAATGCCCTAAGTCAGGCCAAAATCAAGTGGGAACAAAGGTTATCCTGAAAGACCAACATCCAACACCTCAAGTTGCCCACAATTCCTGGAAAAATGCAGATGAAAGACTCCCCAAAAAGTACTGACAGCCAGAGCATTCAGCAGCAAAGATCATACACCTGTGATGCCTTCACCGGGGCTGGAACAGCCACTGGACTCCAGAGCCCATGCCCTTTCCACTTTAAGCTACACTAGAAATACTAGGTTAGGGCCAGGCACGGAGGCTCACACATGTAATCTCAACACTTTGGGAGGTGAAGGCTGGCGGATTACCTGAGGTCAGGAGTTCAAGACCAACCTGGCCAAGTTGGTGAAACCCCATCTCTACTATAAATACAAAGTTAGCCCAGAGATGGTGGATACCTGTGGTCCCAGCTGCTCGGCGGGGGGGGAGGGGGGCGCTGAGGCAGGAGAATTGCTTGAACCTGGGAGGCAAAGGTTGTAGTGAGCCAAGATCACACCACTGCACTCCAACCTGGATGACCGAGCAAGACTCAGTCTCAAAAAAAAAAAAAAAAGTACGAAAAAGAAAGAAAGAAATATCATGTTAGAATCCAGTTTTTATTCTAAAACCTTACCAAAAGTGGAAGAAAGAGTATTGCTGGCTAGAATTCAGATTATCTGAGCCAAATTTCCTATCTACTGTCTCAACACCAAACCAAGGTTGGGTTGAATCAGATACAGTGTTGAGTAGAAGATTTTGGTAACTCACCAATAAAGTGATTATTCCCCAAGGCGAGCATCTCCTCCAGGAGGACCAGTCCCCCTGATGCCTGAAGCGGGGTCACACTTCGTCCATCTATGAGGGAGCACTGTTGGAATCCCGTGGCCGTGACCTTCCACAGCAAAATCAGTGAAGCAGTGGCATCTTTCCGAATCCTGAAAACAGGAATGACATAAACAGAAAGCTCCTTTCAGAAAAATTCATCTTAGAACCAGTCCTTCAAATGAAAAATAAATACAAAGATGATGTGTGCATCCATCAAGGTACCAGGAAATCGACGGCATGAACAGACGCACGGGCATCTAGCATAACCGTGCACACTCCCACTTGTTCACCATGTACCACAAAATGAGTCCCTGGCAACTCACCTTTGAGTAACCATTCCGACGGACAGTAAAAGAGTACACTAGGTTCTCTTTTTGACTAATCCTTCCATAGTCATACGATATAAAAAGAGTTTTGCTTTCATTTGTTATAAATGTGGACTGCAACTCAACACAGCCACCTGAGTTATGCTGCAAAAGTGTGTCACCCTCTCCCCAACCCCCCCACACTCATACACAGGCACCATCACACAATCCACCTCCCCATGCTTCAGGCCTTCCCTGGCTCATTTTCGGTTCAAACACACACACACACACACACACACACACACACAGAAAAGGATGTCATAGAAGACCCGTGAACCCCAGCCCCAGCTGCCCTTCACCTTTCTCCTCACAGACCAATGCTTCAGCAACTAGGAGCTACCAGTTCTTCCCCAACCCAGTTCTTTCTCAGCTCCCAAGCTTTGTCTCCTTCTCCACCTTGGAAATGCGTTCCTAGCCCACATATCACCTCGTCCCAGAGACCTCTGACCACCTTCCCAACATCCCAGCAGCTGCCCATTCTCCCCAGTGTTCCTGGAGAAGAGCACAGTAGACTGCACATGCCCCCAGCACCGAGCTCCTGGCATGCAGCAGGGGCTCAGTAAAGCTTTGATCAGTGACTACATTCATGAGGAAATGGAAGCGTAAGGAGCTAGTAACCCGCACAGGTGAATTCAGGGCCCAGAGGTCGGCCCTTCGGCACTCCCATCTCACTTGGTCTGAGTCAGACTCTGCTAATTCTGTCGGGTTCTACAGCCTAAGGGAGTCTCAGAGAATGGCAGGTTTGTTGAAAGGAAAAAAAACAAAAGCATTTAAAGAGATAGAAGGCCAGAACGTTCAGAAAGGCTTATCAAGGTAAGATAGTACGATCCAGACAGGAAAGGGCTGAGAGATATTTTCATAAGAGTAAAAGAAACTAGAAATCCTGCTCCTGAAACTAGCCCAGGATGGCGGGGATTTCAGCGGTAGCTTGAGCAATGAAAGAAACACTTAGGACCGGGGTCCCCCTGCTGGTAGAGCTCGAAGCTGCCTCAGGCTCCAACTCTTCCCTCCTCTCCGGATGGGGTGTTCCTCCTGAGCCCAAGGAGTTCCCAAGCAGCCCTTCCAGGCTCTTCCCCTGCCAGAGTGAGTTCAAGGCCAGGGGGAACCAGGGTGCAGGAGCAATGTAATGAAGTTCCTCTTCCAAACATGTTCAGAGACTGCATTGTTTAGAAAGCCAGGTAGACAAAAATGGGCATGGATACATGGAAGAGACCTATAGTGCCCACAGGCTCCTGAAGAGGGCATCAAACTGGTTAACCAGGACACATGTTCCCAGTCTTCTAAAAATCCCCGAAGACTGAACAGCAAATGCCCCTTAGGTTGCACGGGAAGTGTCGGGAGGGCGTCAGTTAACAGCAGCAGAGAAGGATGGGCAGTGGGGGATTTTCAGCCGGCCTGGGGCGCCTTAATACTGGCCCATCCCCACCCCCAGCTTTGTGCTCCTGAGCACCTGCTGACTTGAGCCTCACATGAAGCACTGCACACATCAGGTCTCAGCTCCCCCCTGCTTCCCTCTGCCTCTCCCTCTTCCCCACCCGTGGCGATGGACCCTGTCATTTGAAAGAGCTTGAATTTAAAACAAAACACTCTTCTCGTCTGCTTGCTTTTAAAGAGAAAATTGTAAAAAATAAAAAATAAAGATAAAATCATAATATGTAGATTTTTAATTTGAGGCAAATTATGCATCTGAATATGACTGATGTTCCATTAAAATCTTAAGAGGCCAATAATTTGGGAAGCAGAAGCATTTGGGAGACAAGGAATCTGGCTGGGATCTTATCTAAGGTCTCAAGGCTTGTCACCTCACACCAGACTCATCCGGTCCAATTTCTCAATTCCACGTCTCCAGCCTGACGACCCTCACTGTCACCTCCTCTGAAATTGCTTCCTCTAGTTTTCAAATGGCAGAGGCCACATCTACCCATGGAATCCATTCACGATTCTCACTTGACCACTTACACAACAGGTCCGTGGATGGACACAACCCCACATACAGGTCATAGCATCACTCTTCACAGTTTTAATTAAGAATTTTCTTACTTGACTGAGGTGTTCTGTGGCACTTCAAAGGATACCAGGCGGCCACCTGCAGAGCTGTTAGAACTGGCATTCCCACAGGCAACATCTGGGATCACCTGGGAAGGAAAAAGAAGGCATGTTATTGGGGTTGATTACAGTACAAAATAATAAGACAAAGCGAAATCCCATGCTGATTTCCTTCATCCCTTTTGATGATACACAGGAGACGAAGAAGTGAAACCTTACGAACTCAGAAGAAAATGGAGCTTTGCCACTTGATTTTCTGAAATACAACAGCTTCCCTGAGAGCAATCTACAAATTCCAGGGATTGTTAAAACGGATCAGTAGGATATTGCAGGAAAGAAAGAAAATGTCACTCCCTGCTCTTTTTCCATTCATTTAACAAGCAGTCATTGGCCCTTGCCCTATGCTTAACCTGATGGTAACCAGGAGACAGACTTCAAGGACTAACCTAAGAACAGCAGGTAAAAGCCTAATGACTGGGCAAGCCAGCCTTCAACTTGCAGAGGGCATGAAGTATCAGGTATGATGACTCTTCTCTGGGCTGATGGGTCCCAGGAGTACTTGCTGAGGCTCAGGAGCTTGAACGCCACCTTTCTTGTTCCTTGTAGGCTATACCTTCACTTTTAACTTATTTCCCAAAAGCGTTATATTGATGTGTATTTAAAAAACAAAAAGAAGAAGTTAATCGGTGGGGAGGACTGTGCTTGTGAAAAAGCATATTGCAAAAAACCTTGAGCTACGTCCAGTGAGATACTCCTGACCTATTTACGCACTTACTCCTCATGCCACAATTACGGTCCTCCCCCGTGTCAGCTAAAACGAAGAAGTATTAAAAGTATTCACCATCACAGAATTAATTGAGAACAATACGGAAACTCTCAGCAATTTTACTCCATAGCCCTCACTTAAAACTTATTTTCCAGAATGTCCTACAATCAAATTCTATGGACAAAGCCCACCACTGATATTCAAAGATGTGAGCATAACTTGTTAAAATTGTATAATGGATGGCTGTTACCCAGGTCTCTAAGGCGCCAAATAACTTTATGTTTCTAAGGCATCATTACTTCATGGGAAGTGGATAATAATATACCTCTGGGTTCCCGTCAGGTTAGACATACATATTAACATGTCTTCCTCTGGCACTTTAAACCTGCTTCATGAATAGCCTAAGAAATAACACAAGATATAGGAAGACGAGGCATTCCTTTTTTACATTTACCAACTATAAAATAACATGACTTTAAATCAATGGATTGAAATGGCTGGTTAGGGAGGAAATTTTCTTTTAAAGGACACTTCCTTGATAAACTTGAATCAGATCTAGTTCACATTCAAGAACTGAGTCATCCAGCAAAAAAGCATTAACATCACAACTTCAAAGCATTTATTAAAAGTCTGAAATCGGAACGAGTTCACAGTTTTTTAGGTAGGCTAAAAGCATTGCCCTGCAGTCTGGATGCAGCCTTCATAAATTGTGTGGTAACGGGAAAAAAAAAAGTGGGTCAACTGGTTAGAATTACTTAAGAAAATAAAAGGAGAAATGCTGCTATCTCCTTTATAACAATAAGGGAAATTTCTAGACACATTCCTTGACTCTAATACATGCTATGCAAAAATCTATGGTTTTGTTTTTTCATTTAAACTATGAAACTTGTACCAACACAGGTTTATATGGATGTCACACATATAAAGTATAAGATGTAGAATGGAATTACACTTTCCAATGTCACTTCCAACTCGTGATTTGGATTTGTTCCCCAACAAATTTCTTCTAGCCAGCAAATTTATTTCATGTCAATTTCTAGGAGTCTACTGAAAAATCTTCAGAATGAGACTTATGAAGAGCTTGAAAATAAAACAGCCAAACTCAAACTCAGATAGGCGAAGTTCCAACAAATAGAATTTTCTGTTGCCAAGATAAATTAAATTTGGATGTTTCTTTGTTATTCATTTCAGAATAATACATTCTGAAAATATTTCAAAAGTCATTGATAGCTTCTTTTTTCTAAGCCCCATTGAAATATTCAGGGTACCAAAAATAGAACCTAAATAATAACCAAAAAATATCACTGGGCATAACACTCTGCTGTGGTCGAATGTTTGTACCCCCTTAAATTCATCAGTGAAATCCTAACTGCCACATTGATGGTAATAAGAGGTGGGGCCTTTGAGAGGTGGTTAGGTCAGGAGAGCACAGGGCTGGCAAATGAGATTAGTGCCCTTGTAAAACACCTGAAAGAGTTCTATAGCACCTTCCCCCATGTCAGGTTACAGTGAGAAGACTTGGGCTGTGAAGGAGGCCCTCTCCAGACTCTGAATCTGCCTTGATCTTGGACTTCCTAGTCTCCAAAGCTGTGAGAAATAAATGTCTGTGATATGGTTTGGATGTGTGTCTTCAAATCTCATGTTGAAATGTGATCTCCAGTGTGGGAGGGGGGGCCTGGTAGGAGATTGTCAGGGCCACAGGGGCAGATTCCTCATGAATGACTTAGCACCATCTTCTTGGCCAGTGAGTCCTTATGAGATTGGATTGTTTTCTGGGACCTCTCCCTTTTCTCTCTTGCCCTCACTCTCGCCATGTGACACACTGGCTCCCCTTTACCTTTCACCATGATTGTAAGCTTCCAGAGGTTCACCAGAAGCAGATGCTAATGCCATGCTTCACGTACAGCCTGAAGAACAATGAGCCAATGAACCCCTTTTCTCTATAAATTGCCCAGCCTCATGCATTTCTTCATAGCCACACAAGAATGGACTAACACCGTTTCTTGCTTACAGGCCACCCAGTTTGTGGCGTTTTAGTTATAGCAGCCTTAACAGACTAAGACACACTCCCAGGCAGGAAAATTAGGTCAACAATGGAGGGCCCTATGACATGTTCCTTTACACGACTCTACACGGAGCTGTCTGCCCCAAAATCTAAGATTATCTCACAGAAATACATGAGGATACCATTCCAAAAAAAAGATTGTATTTTTTTGTTTGTTTGTTTGTTTACTCTTTTTATCCTTACAAAACCATCATCCACACAAATGCAGACGGGAATAAGTTTAGGCACATATTTTTCTTGGTGAGTTAACATAAAATTATTTCATTTTTAATTGCTGATACTAGAACCCCTGGAATCATTTTAAGATTTCTGGTTTCTCCAAACACCGCATGTTCTCACTCTTAGGTGGGTGTTGAACAATAAGAACACATGGGCCCAGGGAGGGGAACGTCACACACTGGGGCCTGTTGGGGAGTGGGAGGCCAGGGGAGGTCGTGTTCATGGTCCGGGAAAAGTGTTTATTTCGGAGTCTTTGCTGTTGACCTCTGAAGGGAGGGGTGGGGAGGTTGGGGAGGTAACTTTGGGAGAAATGCCTGATGTAGGTGACAGGGGGATAGAGACAGCAAACCACCTTGGCAGGTGTGTACCTATGCAGCAATCCTGCAAGATATACACATGTACTCCAGAACGTAAAGGACAATTTAAAAAAAAAAAAAAGATTTCTGGTTTCTAACGTAAAAATGTACACGATATAATGTTCTCACCTCCACTTGATCCCATCTCATTTCTACAACTTTCTGCCCTGTTTTCGGCTGCCAGGTAGGCAAAGTCACTGTTGCCTGCGAGCGGGGCAGGATTATGTCAGGCTCCTGAGTAGCAGGGACAGGCTGAAGCTGTCTGGGTGCAGTGGATTCGGTCCAGCCAGTGGCTGGGAGACTGGGAAGCGCCTGTTCGCAGTTGGGACCTTCATAGCCTTCATTGCAAATGCAGAGGTAGCCATCACTGCTGCTGCTGCTGCTGCTGCTGCTGCTGCTACAGTTGCCATGGTGACAAGGGTTGCTGGCACAAGGATCTGCAACAAGCTGAAACGAGACCATAAATGGGTCAATTATTCCCTCATAAGAAAAGTGGTGCCATCGCTGGGAAATTAGCTCTGTGTCTCAGAGCAACTGCTCTAATGGAAACACTGTTCCCGTGGAATACATGCCTTAACTACTTGTGCTGTTGCGGGGGGTGGGGGGTGTTCACCAAGGTCATCCCAGCATTAACCTCACCACAGATAAGAGGCTCCCAGAAAGAAAACACAAAGGGGAGAGCAGCCTCCTCAAAACCCAGAATGTCCAATTGTGTTGATTTCAGGAACCCATTATTTACAGGAATTTTCTAGGGCAAAAGAAATAGTTGAAACTCATTAGGAAGATAGCAACTTTGACATTATTGGCTGTCAAATGATATTAGGAATCTAAATTGAAATCTCCTTTTCTACATTCTGGACCTTTGCAAGGTTTCCTCATGAAAAAAGACTGCCCAATTTATCTGCCCTGCAGATGTGCTTACCAATGTCTCTCGATTACCTAACTGATCAACGATCCTTTTTAAGATGATACTATATATTTAATTAAAGGCTTCCAAAATGATCCATTTGCATGACAATTGCTAGCTAGAAGAGACTGTGGTGGGGACGTAAGCAGAATTTTATGAAATTTTTATCTCATTATTTTGGAGGGTGCTTACAGAGAAATGTGACCCCTTCCCTCGCCAGATGGAAGAACTCAGTGATATGTGTTTAAATCGTGTTCATGGTCGGGGAAAAGTGTTTATTTCGGAGCCCTTTGCTGTTGACCTCTGAATGGCCATGTGTTGGTAGTTAGAGACATGCTACAAAAATGATGTCACCTGCTCCTCCTGAGATAGCACAAGGGTTCAGACATGTTCTCAGCACCTATTCAATTACGATTTGTTTCTGTGATAAAGAGAAAATTAGATCTCCAGCTGATATACTGGCTTCTCAGGGCTGACTGCAAAATAGAACTCAGTACAGAATAAATGTCAGAGAAATGGGACCCTCGGTCTCTTGTTAAAATAAGTTCACACACTAAAACATACATGGATAGAATTCTGCATGTTAAAACGGCTACTCGTTCTGCTAATTATTCCCATGAAGCAACTTCCAACAAACTCCTTACGGAGTATTAAGGGATTTGGAGTTGAATCAAATGAAGCTTCAAAAATCCCACCTTATTTCTATGCTATCACTTGGCAATTCCTTCACAGAATCTCAGATGACAGTCAATGGATTTGTATCTGAAAATATTTAAACTGTCAATAATTAATTTACAATATTTATAATGTATCAACTCAAAGTAAAATCCAAACTCCTTCTTCGGCAGACAAAGCTCTTTGATCAGGCCCTTTCCTCTCCTCCCACAAACCTTCCCTTCCCTTGCAGCCTCCCGTCCTCACCCTGTTTCTGTTCCAAAAAAAATATTGGAAAAGTAGACAACATTTGGAAAGCCACGTGTGATAAGGGATGGATGTGAACTTCTTGTTTAGCCAAGATGTTGTTATCTTCTTTCTGATTTATTTTTAGGAAGGCCTTGTGGAATGGGTGTCACCTCAAGAATTATGCAACAAGAAGAATTCTATTCACTTGAACAAAGGAGACATTCAAAGCATGTTTCTGAAATCAACTTTTAAAACACCTGAGGTGGATCTAGTCACAAATGAGAATTTTAATACATGCTTTAAGAAGGGAAAAATACATTTAAACCACAAGGGATCAATACAAAAGTTAATTCTGAAAGGCCAAACTTGCGGCTTAGAGAATGACATGACTGAGGCAAGGACCACCTATCGGGGGGCCTGAGAGGCCTCACAGCTTCAGCTCCGTTACCACAGCCCCAGCTGACAACTGTCAGTCCTCAGAGACGCAAGGTCCTCCTCAAAAGGGGCAGCAAGCACAGCGGAAGCCCACATTCATTCAGAGAATCAGTCACAAGCACACACCCTTCCCACAGAAACAGGCACCACATCTACCCTCCCCCAAGACAGCCGTTTAGAGTTTTCAAAGAACACTCCATGGAGTGGCTTCTCTTCACACCAACCCTAAAATGGAGAAGGACATCTGAACCCACATCACTTCTGAGAAAAAGAAGGGCAGAGGGCAGGACGTGGTGGTTTGTACCTGTAATCCCAGCACTTGTGGAGGCCAAGGCTAGTGGATCGCCTGAGTGCAGGAGTTCAAGAACAGCCTGGACAACATGGTGAAACCTCATCACTACTAAAAATACAAAAATTAGCTGGGTGTGGTGGCAGGCACCTGTAATCCCAGCTACTCAAGAGGCTAAGGCAGGACAATCGCTTGAACCCAGGAGGCAGAGGTCGTAGTGAGTCAAGATTGCACCATTGCACTCCAGCCTGGGCAACAGAACAACACTACATAGCAAAAAAAAAAAAAAAAAAAAAAAAGGCGGAGGAGTCAATGACCTCTCACAGCTACGATACTAGGAGACCACGTCTTCTGACTTCCAGCCAAGAGTTCTTTCCACAACACAGCACCACAACTTTGATATTATGTTATCATCATGCCAAAAAAAAATCCCATAGAGAAGCCAGAAGGTAAGGGTTATATTTTTGCAAGCAATAAAAAACAAGTAGGTATTAAATGTAGATCAGTTAAGGCTGCCTCAAATTTCTTTTTTTTAGAAACATGTATGACAATGGTGATACTCAATAAACACTGACTGAGGGCTTACTATAACCAGAACTGTGCCAGATCTGGGTATAAAATGCTACTAAATTAAAAAAAGAAAGAAAGAAACTAAATCTGTCCCTAGAGAGTTTATATCTAGTACAAGCACTAAAAGCACCTACTCCTACCTGCCGTTCACAATACTCATATGCGCGCCTGCCATTCCGTTAGGCATTTCACCTCTCTTACATTAGGGCATCCTTACAACTAACTTCTATGGTAAGTATGATTGTATAGTTATTCCAATTTTACAATGGAAGCTTGGCAATGTTACACAAATGACTTTTACCCAGAATAAAAGCCAAAGCATTCACTAATTTTTTTTTTTTTTTTTTTTTTTTTTAGTTTTGTTGCCCAGGCTAGAGTGCAGCAGTGTGATCTTGGCTCATTACAGCCTCTGCCTCCTGGGTTCAAGCAATTTTTGCGCCTCAGCCTCCCAAGTAGCTGGGATTATAGGCACCCACCATCACATCTGGCTAATTTTTGTATTTTTAGTAGAGATGGGGTTTCACCATGTTGGCCAGGCTGGTTACAAACTCCTGACCTCAGGTGATATTCCTACCTTGGCCTCTCAAAGTACTGGGATTACAGATGTGAGCCACTGTGCCTGGCCTGTATTCACTAAGTTTTACAGGCACTCTGTGATGTGTCTGCCTCAGTCTCCCTGACCTCACCTCCTGTCCCTGACCTCCCACTCTGGCTCCACACACACTGGCTTGCTCACTGCTCCTCCAATGCTCCAGACACTCTCCTGCCCCAGGGCCTTTGCATCAGCTGTTCCCTCTGCCTGGAATGCCCTTGCATCTCAAGGCTGCTCCCAAGCCACATTTGAGTCTTCGTTTCAATGCCATCTTCCAACAAGGACCCTGTTTAACAGAGCAAGGTCTCCACCCTCTGGCAATGTCAACTCCTCTTTTTTTTTATTTCTTCAATGTTTATTTTAAATTCTGGGGGAACATGTGAAGGTTTGTTACCTGGGTATATTGCATAATGCTGAGGTTTGACTCTTCTTTCCTTGCTTTATTTTTTTCTAAAATATCCATCATCTTCTCACATAAATTTTAAATTATTTAATATATTCATTATTTTTCTTCCCCCACCAGAAAGCAGGCTTTTTGAGGTCAGATTTCCTTTTTTCAATTTAATTTATTTGTGTATCCACAGCCCCAAAACAGTGCCCAGCACATGGGAGCTGCTGGATAAACATTTACAGAATGAATGCATGCATGCATGCATGAATGAATGAGTGAGTGAATGAATGTGAATGATGTTATATACAAGCAGCTGCCACAGCCTGTGAAGTATACTGCTTTGTGAAATGCAATCAGGATTCTCCAAGGCCCAGTCTCAGGTCTTGAGAACATAAGTCACGGGGGAGCCTTACATGTCCCACTGTGGTGTTGTAAAGTTATTAAATAACTTTAAATCTGCTTTAAAAGTAGTAAAAGCTCTGTCAATCTGAGAGGTAAGACAGAGCCAGCACAACCTGCAGCCTCAGCCTTGATGAGGGCAGGAAGACTACAGACCCACTTCACAAGTGGCTTTCAATACAGTGAGCCAAGCCACCTTTCTCCGGTCCTCAGGGACCATCTCTGTGAGCCATTTCATGAAGCCATTCACCCCAGTGGGCAGGGTCAGAGGTGCTGGTAGATGGAGCTGGGTGGCAAATGGCAGGTCCCATGGCAATGCTCAATTTGTTCCATCTAGAGTCAGTCCCGCCAGGTAAGGGGATAAGGAGCCAGAAAGAAAACATGATGAGAATCAATAATACCCAAAGTGCTTTGTCTGAGCTTCATAGATGAGAGGAATGCACAAACAGCATATGGGATGAAAGGAAGAATGATCAACATGGAAGACCAGGAGAAACATGCTTAGTGAAGAAGAGAGGACAAAAGCTAACAATTAAACAGTCATTTGTATAAATTTCTAAAGGGATTCAAAACAGTGGATAAAGTGATGGCGTGCACATGCACACACATGCACACACATACATGCACGTGCATGCAAATGCACATACAGACACACGCAGACATGTGCACACACATATCTGCATGCACACATACACACATGCACATGTGCCTGCACATGGAGCACACACATACACATGCACATATGCACACATGCACACACACACAATGGACACACACGAGCGTGCATGCACACATGCATGCACACACATACACATGCACATGCACACACATGCACACAGACACAGGGGTACAAGGCAGAGAATGCATTGCAGGGTCATTGGACCCTTTTTAAAAATAATTTATCCTAATGCTACTTCCTTGGCGTGTATTTTAATTGTTTCATTAACAATGGCGACTTTCT